AAGGGTTATAAGTGTTTAATTGAAATGGAGAATTTCTTGGACTCCTTTTTAATAAAATTTTTATATTTACTAACAAAGAAAAATTGGAGGTCCTGATTTTCCATTTTTCTTCTTTATTATCTTTATTTTGTTTAGTCGTATTAAATTTATAATAGTTGAAAAAATTATTGATTAAAGATAGAAAAATGATACAAAGACAATTTTTATTGTACAGTTTTTATATAATATAATTTTAGATGTCATTTAATTATTATCTCTTTTTACCCTATTAAAATTTGCAATATTATATATATATATATATCTACTTATTTAATAACATATAAAAGTTATACTTTATTTGTTCAACTTGAGTAGATTTAATTTAATTTCTAATTTAAAATGTTCAAATTTAGTTTCAATTTTCCTTTTTAGATATTATTTAACATACTTATTCTTATTTTAATTTTATTTGAAAAGATAATTATAACATAAATTAAATAAAAAAACTTATTTAAGTAGTGAAAATTTAAGTAAAAATACTCAACAAGCTACATATAGAAAAAAATTAATTATCATTTATTTACTATATAAAATCATCTGATCAAATTTTATATAAAAATAAAATTAAGACAAGTAAATCTGATTGGATGGAATAATTAATTAAGATTAATCAAGTTAATTAATTATTACCAGTTAAAATAATAAGGTTTGGTAGGCTTTGGGCCTGCCCATTTATTCCCTTCCATTCTTTTTCTTAATGGCCCAAAGCTAACAAAATGGCCCGCCCAAAAGAAAAGGAAAAAGACAGAAAGAGAAAAAAATTCCGGCAACATTCCCAGAGTTGAAATTTGATTCTAACATTCAAAAGTGCAATGATTTTTTTGGGCCGAACGTGGGATTCAAAGTTAGGAGATATGTAGCCCAGTTGGGGGAATGGGCCTTAGTGTCTAGTCCGGATTAACAAGTTCGGCCTCGGCCACATGGGATCTTTGTGCCTAAGGGAAGAACGTTGAACAAAGAAGATACGTGCACAGGCGTCTGTTGAGCTTTTTCTTTTTATTACTACCGAAAGTATAATAATTATAATATTACATAATATTATAAATTTATAATATAATATATTATTATATAATTAACTTTTTTATTTAAGAATTTAATTACAATATTATATGTATTTACTTATTTAATATTATATTATAATTATAAACTTATAATTGCATATAACATTGTAATTATAACATTGTTGATTAATAAAATACTAAAATTATCATTTCTTCCTTTTCAATGCGTCCTGGGATACTTTCCTTGTAAAATTTATAAAGAAGATCCTTGACTTCTTGATGGTTGATACCTGCCTTGATTGTTTAATAAAAGTTGTAAAGATCTGTCATCAGTACTAATGCATCACAATTCAAGGTGTAAGGCTGTAAGCAGTTGGGTCCATATGAAATTTATTCTAAAGCAATTAAGGAGTGGGGACAATATTTTGTCTCTGGATACTTGAATTTATAAAGAAGTTGTGCTTGACTTAATTGGTACTTTTGTTTTCTTTTATTCGATCTTCGTCTATATATGTAGCCACTCTACACCTGAATTTTTAATTTTCACCTGCACCTTGAGAGCAATTAAAGTAAGTTTAGCTTAATTAAAGCTTTGTCTTTCACTAATTCTCCATTTAAACTTACACAATTTAATTAGTTTAATCTGTTGTATTTAGTACATTGTGTTCTTTAATATACTCTGCTATCTACTAAATTAATTTTCAAACTGCTAGAGGTATATGTAAATATATATATATATAGATATATGAATGCAAGCAATTGCCTAGATTATTATAAATTTATAATATAATATATCATTATATAATTAATTCTTTTATTTAAGAATTCAATCATAATATTATATGTATCTACTTATTTAATATTATGTTATAATTATAAATTTATAATTGTACATGACATTGTAATTATAGCATTGTTGATTAATAAAATACTAAAATTATCATTTCTTCCTTTTCAATGCGTCCTGGTATACTTTTCTTGTAAAATTTATAAAGAAGATCCTTGACTTCTTGATGGTTGATACCTGCCTTGATTGTTTAATAAAAGTTGTAAAGATCTGTCATTAGTACTGATGCATCACAATTCAAGGTGTAAGGCTGTAAGCAGTTGGGTCCATATGAAATATATTCTAAAGCAATTAAGGAATGGGGACAATATTGTGTCTGGCATACTTAAATTTATAAAGAAGTTATGCTTGACTTGGTACTTTTGTTTTCTTTTATTCGATCTTCGTTTATATATATAGCCACTCTACACCTGAATTTTTAATTTTCACCTGCACCTTGAGAGAGCAATCAAAGTAAGTTTAGCTTAATTAAAGCTTTGTCTTTCACAAATTCTCCATTTAAACTTACACAGTTTAATTTGTTTAATCTGTTGTATTTAGTACATTGTGTTCTTTAATAGTCTCTGCTGTCTACTAAAGTAATTTTGCTATCTACTAAATTAATTTTCAAATTGCTAGAGGTATATGTATATATAAATAGATATATATGAATGCAAGCAATAGCCTAGATTATGATCGTTAATTAATTTTCTATAGAGAAAAGAAAAAATTAATATGTCCTTATCAGAACGTCTAATAATATTTACAATTTGATAAAGTTAAAAATTATATTATACATCACATATTTAATAATTATAATTACATGATATATTTAATAAAGTTAAAACTCACATTACAACTATATATTTAATAATTATAATTAGATGTTCTAAAATTTTTAATACCAAGACATTATGATTTTCCTTTGTGTCCCTTTTCTATATGGTTTCTTAATTTCCTTTTTTTCAATAACATATTTCATTTTATTCTGCGTCATTCTCATGATATATTGTTTGATAGATCATCAACATTATGGCAATGACAAATGCTAGTTCTGCAACTATGATTGTTGTCCGTCAACTTCTAAAAAGGGGCAATTATAAGAGTTGGAGCATTTTCATGGAAGATTATTTGATTTCTCAAGAGCTTTGGGATGGCATTATTGTTCCATCCAGCGCCAATCAACCGCTGCCCGGCGAATCTGAGCGGAGAAAAAGGAATGCTGCCGCTTTGAATGCCATTAAGATTTCATGCGGACCAGAAAGCTTTATTCGTATAAAGTATACCCGTTCAGCAAAAGATGCTTTGGATATGCTAGCCGAAGTGCATAAAACAGAACCTGAAACTGATGAAAGCACTCCAAAGGCAAGCAATCCTCTGCCTTGGGTGGCAAGTACAATTGTCCCTGAACTTCTAGAAAGAGGCAACTATGAGAGGTGGAGTATCTTCATGAAAAACTACTTAGTTTCACAAGATCTCTGGGTGGTTACTCACCACTCATCAACGCCTCTTGGAGTTTCTAAAAAGGGGTGGAGAAAAAAGAATGCTGCCGCTCTGCATGCAATTCAAATTTCATGTGGAGTAGAAAAATTTAATCAGATAAAGAAGATGCGTTGGGCAATTGAAGCTTGGTATGAGTTGAAAACAATAAATAATGAAGAAGAGAAATCAAAAATAAATAATTCAGGTTTGCCACTTTTATATGACATCATATGTTTTAGATTGCATTTGGTTTAAATGAATTTGGCAAAATATGTGGAATTTTATTTGCATGCAATTCTATACTCTTTTGCTTGGTACTATTATAATGTGTAGAATTCAATTTCAAACCTTTAAATCATGGAATTAGTTAAGGCTAATTTAATTCTAATTAATCTCACTTCAGAACATGAGAAAGAAGAAGAAGAAGAAGAAGAAGAAACTCCAAAGGCAAGATTAACATTTTTTTTTTCCTTTTGTGCCCCCCTACTTCTTCTTTGGGGGTGTTTGGCTTTCAAACTGACCGCTTGTACTCATTCTGATATTAATTTGTTGATATATGTGGTTAGATTAATTCTGCAAGTATGATTGTCCCCGAACTTCTAGCAAGTGACAATTATAAGAGATGGAGCATCTGTATGAAAAGCTATTTAGTTTCTCAAGATCTTTGGGATGCTGTTCTACACAGTTGGGCGCCAGTTGGAGTTGATAAAAAGGAGTGGAGTAAAAAGGATGCTGCTGCTCTGCATGCAATTCAGATTTCATGTGGACCAAAAATATTTGATGTAATTGAGGAGATCACTTCCGGTAAAATTGCTTGGGATACCTTGAAGCATAAAAGAAATAGTCCTTCCTCTGATGATTTTATTGATCTACGGGAAAAGCAAGGTTTGCCACCTCTCATTCTCTCTCATCACTGGGTTTTTGCAGTGTGTTTTGGATTCTACTACAAAGGTTTTTTCTGTTATAGTCCCCTTAAAGCGCTTTTTTCTTTTTTTAATTCTTCGTATTAAAAGTAACTTCAAAGCTATGTTCGGTTAAGTTGGGAAACGTTTCCAATTGCTTTCTCCTTAACTGGATTTTTCAGGGCTAATTTAGTATGTTTGGTTAAGGTGGGAATTTGTCTTTGTCTGTTGTCATGACAGAGACAAGTTTTTGTACATTTTCTTTATTTTTTAACTTTAATTATTTGTTATATTCCCCTCTTGGATTTAATTGACCCAATTTGATTTTTATGTATAATTTAATTTGATAATTTTATATAGTAAATAAATTATAATTAAA